TCTCTCATTATAATTTAAAACACTTATTATTCACACACTCTCATTATAATTTAACACTCTCATTAATTTTGCACACACACTCATTACACACACTCTCATTAATTTTACACACACACTCATTACATACACACTTATAATTTAAAACACTCTCATTAATTTTACACATAATCTCTTTATTTACACACACTCTGTTTATTTACACACACACTTAGTATTTTTTGCAGATAATATGGATTCTGAATATCAACAACGTGTCTCACCTACTGCGTCAAATAGACGACGTCGTGAATTGGATGTAGACCATGAATGGGGACGAAGGCGTGGGCGAGGACGTGGTCGAGGTCGTGGTCGAGGTCGTGATCCAGTTTCGGTAGAATATGATATTCCCAGTGCCAATCAAAGTAGGGGCCGAAGCCAAAGACGAGTTGAAGGTTATGATATGCCTGACATTGCTATGGAGGATACCTCTTTACCTGATTCTCCTCTTGTCCAGGAAGAGTACCTTACTCATGCTTTTCTAAGTGGACCGACTGATCCGTCAATACTGCAGAGTTTCAATAGTCATGTGGCTGCAGCTATTTGGCACGGGGAGGTAAACCTTCCTCAGTAAAATTGAAATTCATTTGTATATGAGTGTTTTTTTTTTTTTTGTGTTGTATGGTAGTTTGTAATGAGATATCATTTGTGTTGTAGGAACGAGGGCCCCTAAAGTGTCAGAATCACTCTTCCAAGATCCTTGCATGGCCATGGTGATTAGTCGAGAACAACACCAAATTCAAAGCCATTATTGAGCAGTCTAGACTGTCACAGTTAGCTCGTTGCACTTATCGGTTCGTCAACAAGCTTCTAATTTCCAGTTTTGTTGAGAGATGGCAACCTGAGACGAACACATTTCACATGACAGTTGATGAGATGACCTTGACTCTGGATGATGTTGGCACTATTCTTGGCCTTCCCATTGTAGGCAAATCAGTCAGCATACCAGATGTGACAGATCATCATGGAGTTACATTACTCATTTATGTCTTGGGGATTACTGAACGTGCAGCATATGAAGAGGTTTCTTCTGCTGGTGGCAATTCAGTCAGGCTTGAATGGTTGTGAAGTCAGTTTGCTGGTGTCACAGATTCAGACCCCGAGGAGGCTATACAGTGCGCTGCAAGAGCTTATTTATTGTTTCTGTTGGGATGTACACTCTTCAATGACAAGAGTGGCGGCAGGGTTCCCGTTGTTTACCTCGGCTTGTTGATGGATTTGGGATCCATACATACTTATGCCTGGGGTGCTGCTGCATTAGCATTTTTATATAGACAGTTGGGGTTTGCTAGCCGGTCTGGGGTTAAGCAGATGGGTGGTTATATGACTCTTTTGGAGGCGTGGATTTATGAGCACTTCCAAGCATTCTGACCTCATTAGAACATGGGCTACAATGAAGACATGCCACACGTGTACCATTGGGCATCTAGGAGAGAGGCGGGTTCCTCCATTGACCATTTGAAATCTTTTCGAGCCGAGCTTGACAGTTTAGTAGCTACTGATGTAAGTTTACTCATCCTGCGATAATTTTAACACTTCTATTTATCTTACCCTTTATGTACTTTAATGCAAAAACACTTTACGTTTACATGTTATTTGGGATCTATACCACAACTGCAGAGATCGGCATCCATGTAACCCGGTTATGTTCTACCATGGATGCTTAAAGTGCTTAGACATTGTCGAACCCTATCATCCAGATAGAGTTTTGAGGCATTTTGGCAGGGTTCAAACCATCCCAAATGCACCGCTAGCTCCCAGTCGTGGTATGCGAGGCAACATATCTGCACGATATACAGTCATGTACAGATACTTGGATAGGATCTGGGAGGCTTGGGATAACCACGTGTTATCTGAGCAACGAAGGAGCACACCAGTTCGTCAGCTTTGGCAATGTCTACCGGGTTACATGGATTGGTATAAGAATATCACGCACCTATATGTCGAGCACACTGATGAACCGCGTGTCTATGGCCATCAGGATTTCAGCGAACATGCGGATGTAATCTATTATCCTCTCTTATGCATATGTAACTTACTTTTTTTTTTTTCTAATATGTTCCCTAAAATGTGATATTCTTTTCAAATGCAGTGTATCGCACATGCACTGCAGATTTCACATCCTATTATTGACGCTGGTTATCAGGAGGGGATTCGACATCCTTATCGACTTTACCAGGCTATCGAGACTATGACGCATGTCCTTGAAGGTTAGCACATTGACGAAGCTGGACCTAGTTCTGCTGGAGGTCGCTTTCCATCTTCGACATTGACATACAGTCGTAGGCCTAGGCGTAGGCATACAGCTGATTCGTGACATGTTATTTTGTTACATGTTATTTTGTTAGTTGATGAATTTTTTTTGGTGTTTTTTGTAAGATGACATTGTTGTAATGGTAACAGTGGTTAATATTTTCTTATTAGAATGGAATGGCAACAATGGTATTGTAATGACATTTTATTATTAGAATGGAATGGTAACAATGGTTGTTGATTTTCTAAATGATATTTTCTTATTACAATGGAATGGTAACAATGGTCGATAACATTCAATCCACATTGCAAAACATAACACATCAACATGAAAAACACATGCATTAATTTCTTCCATAATTCTAACATTGTCAAATACATACATGTGTCATGCGACATCAACAACATCAAAAGTCTCTCGAGTAGCTACATTATCATGAATAATGTCCTTGAAATGTTGAATGCGACACACATATGCATCATCCCAGTCGACAGCGCAAGGGTGACGGTATTTTCTCCAATTAGTGGCAGTAGGAGGAACTGGATGGCCTGGCTGCAACAAAACCTGCACCAAATATCAATTGACTTAGTGGTCATACCTCATAACTTCTTGTACATGCACTAACCCAATTGATAAGTTTCTGTTATACCTGGACGAAATGATTTCTGTTGACAAACCCAATGGCAATCTCACGTCTACCAAGTTGAGGTATTGGCACTGTTCTAAGAGGTAAAAAGGTGAGACATTGTTGTAAAGACAAGTGGTATAACACAAGATTGTAGCACGATGCAACAAGATGCCCCATGTCTGGCATAGTCATGCAGGTGGATGATTATGCAATCCGCATACTACGGTCAATGTCCATTCATCATGTGTGGTAAACCTGTGAGCCCTCATATCAAAAGGACAACCACACTTCTTCGTACCGGTTATTCTTGATGTCCCATAAAGTGTAATGTATTCCTCTTTGTGTGTGCAGCTCACCCAATAGGTCACGCCTAACCTGAGCCCAATCATCTTCTGTATGACCAATTGAAGCAGCTATAGCCCTGAAACCACAATTCCCATCTGTAGCTACATCCTTGACAAACTTAATGTATGGTTTCAACCCAGCAGGGAAAGCATCAACATATGCACCAGGTTTCACTGTTCTAGTAATGTATGCCTTCCCTTTCGGATTCACCTTCTCCTTTCCCTTAACAGGTCGCTTCTTTTTGGTTTGCAGAGTAGAAGCTAACGTAGTGATTTGAGTGTCCCTAGGTGAGAAGGAATCATGTCCAAATTGCACTAACTCAAATGCACACGGGTTACGACGAGTAGAAACATTGATCTTCTTATGATCCCGAGGACGTGTTTTGGGCTTCACCTCCGGCTCAACAAGAAAAGTGCTTCCCGGATATACAATCTCTTTCAACTTCTTCAAAAACTCCAACCGCATGGTTCTATCACTTTCATTAAACTTGTTCACAAACAACTCTACTTCTGCATGACAAGTCACCTCCGTTTCCTCTTCTTTCTGGCATATGGAGATATGAAGTTGCCTCTACTGTGAGTGTATGGTAGCAAGTGGTATAGGACGATCTTGTCTGATGTAGTCAGCAATCTTATGGGCGCAAGGTAAACCATGAGTGTGGCGAAGGACGCATCCACAAGCTTCAATATCAATACCAATAGAATTGGCTCTCTTACTCTCGACAAGCAAATACTCCAATGCAGAGATAGACACATTACCCTGTAGCTCCCTGAATTGAGAATGTTTAAATTGATGTTGCACAACAGTTAGACTTTTCTCAAATGAAGCCTTGATATCAGTGTGTTGCAACTCAAGCAGACTGTGTATTTTCTCAAATGATGCCTGAAATGAGACTTGACATGAACCTAATTGTCTTTTAAGTTTTGCATGTGCACTCTCAGCCCTGTTCAATTCAATGTAAGTCAAGTTAAAATCAAGTACATGACACTTATTAATAACATATTGAAGAAAAGTAATCTTACCGGTTCGTTGTGACATTGCCACAATGCATACACGTGTCTGTCCATGCCGCCACAAATTTGTCCCTGTAAGGAACCAACCAAGTATCCATGACATATTTGACTGCATCAGGATAACTACCGAATTCCTTAAGTAATGATTTAAGACGCTCCTCGTATTGAATTTCAGAAGATGAATACACTACAGAATTCCACTCATGGTTGAACTTCTCCCATTTTTGCTGTGTCTCAAACATTTTCTTGCATTTGGTCAACACATTCTTACTGCTATGCCAACGACATAATAAATGTCTGGCACTCGGAAATATCTTCTGTATGGCGTTCATCAAGGCTAGCTCTCTGTCAGTACGACATAATAAATGTCTGGCACTCGGGAATATCTTATGTATGGCATTCATCAAGGCTAGCTCTCTATCAGTAACAATAACTGTTGGCACAACAAACCCATCAATGACATCACGCAATGTAGCTAACACCCACGCATAGTTATCGACCCTCTCATACTGTAAGTATGCGAAAGCTACAGAGAATGTCATTTCAGTTGATGTTACTCCCATAATTTCAAGAAGAGGAAGCCGATATCTGTTGGTTTTATATGTGCAATCCATAATTAATATACGTGGGAAAGACCGAAATAAGTCCAAACTGGTAGGATGTGCCCAAAACAAGTCTGTCACAATCATCGTGGACTCTTCAAACCGATGGCGCTCAATGTAATTATACTTGGCCAATTCACCCAATAAGTGTTGCTCACCCAATAAGTGTTGCATCTGTGATCTTCCAGCTCGCTGTACCACCCTGTTTCGATGGCGTACATTGTAAATGGTTTTAAGTGTACTTACATTGAGGGCATCTCGCTGTTTCAAGGTTACTAGGATTTCTTTTGGCCGAACCATGCTCTTTGACATATCCATTAACAATGCTTTCTCATCCTTTGATAGCCTCTCCTCATATGAATGTCCCTCGAGGTGCTCCGCAGGTGGATGATTATGCAATCCGCATACTATGGTCAATGTCTATTCATCATGTGTGGTAAACCTGTGAGCCCTCATATCAAAAGGACAACCACACTTCTTCGTACCAGTTATTCTTGATGTATTGTTGCCATCACGTTTTAACTTGTTTGTTGCTCTATATTGGCCACTCCTCTCACAAGCAATATACGTCCTGGGCCTTTTTTCCCTCCACCATAGTCTGATGTTTTGATTACAATGATCAAACCATTTCTCTTTCCAACTTCACGTACCCAGTTGAGCAATTCATCCTTACTTTTGAATACCTACAAAGTTAAATAAATATTATCAAACATTTACATTTGGTGAGCAAGTCGAAACATAATCGTTATAATTTCGTAGACTGAACCTGTTCAGTTGTGAATTGAGTGGTATAATCTAACACAAAATCCGCGCAAACCTGACTTTCTTGAGTTGACACATATTCCTGCGTGTTTTGTATAATATTACAAATTTTTAATGGCATTATAAAGATTAATTTGCAATTTGAAACTGTAAATTTGGTATGTAGTTTGCAAATTTGGAATATAAAATGGAAAAAAAAAATTACTTCATTCGGAAGTAGTTGTCCGAATTTTTTTTCAAATTTCGGAAGTTGAATGTTGTAAAAGTTAACTTTGTTCGGATAACAACTTCTGAATTTAAATACATTGTTCGGACAACAACTTCCGAAATTTATTACTTTATTCGGACATCAACTTCCGAAAATAAATAATTATTTCGGTAGTAGATTTCCGAACCAAATAACACAATTCGGCTCTGGTTATCCGAACGACGCTGGGAAAAAAAAAAATTAAACTCACATTTCCTTCGCTCTGCTTCACATGAACATTTATTTGCTGATTTTCAGAAGGCAAATCCTCTATAACAATGATGTTTTCCCTACGAATGACGAAGGTTGATGAATGAGTGCATTAAGAAGCTGCAGTGCATGTGCAATACGGAAATGCCAAAGTCCTTTGGTTTCACTTCTAGCTCAATGAACTTGGAAGAAGCTATGAATGACACTACATCCAGAAGCTACACATACAACGCAACAGATGTGAACTCTGAGGTGTGCATTGAGATGTTTTCAATTAACAATGGTGTCTAAAATAGTAATTTTATTTAGAAATAAAATTGTAATAAAATTAAATATCATTAAGTGTTTGTATCGAGGAATTAGGTGTGTCTATATAAGCTCCCCTCCTCTTCTTCCTCTTCCTCACCCCCTCCCCAAACTACCCCTCCACAAACCCATTAATCCCCCACAGGTCCCTCCTCAACACCACCACCACCACCACCACTACTTCCCTCTCCCGCTCCTCCATCCTCCAAACCCCACCTCACAATCGCTGCTCTTTCTCTCTCCTCCACTGCACTGGCGACTCTAACAGCCTCATCAACTACTTCTCTCTCCATTTCTGCCTCTTCCACCAAAACCCATTTGCCTCTGTGCCCTTTCTCTTCCTCACTATCCTCTTCCAGTTCTATGTCCTCGTCAAGACCGCTCAGGATCAATTCTCTGTTGTGGTCACCAAGCTCGTTGCCCACCTCAATTTGTCACCCAGTATTGGGGCTGTGACTCTTCTTGCACTCGGCAATGGTGCCCCCGATGTGTTCGCATCGGTCGCTGCGGTCCGCGGAGGCCATCCGAGGACTGGGTTCGGCGCGATTTTGTCGGCCGGGACGTTTGTTTCGGCATTGGTTGTTGGGTTTGTGGCGATTTATGCAGCACCCTTTTCGGTCGACCCTGTGCCTTTTGTGCGGGACGTGTTGTTTTACTTGACTGCAGCTTTGTTCTTGTTCTATGTGTATCTTAGTGCTGAGATTTTTCTATGGCAGGCTATTGGGTTTGTTGGGTTTTAGCTTTTCTTTGTTGGGTTTGTGTTTTGGATGGATTTGGGGAGGGATGGTGGGAAAAGAAAAGGTGGGGTTGGTGTGGGTGGTGGTTTTGTTGGGGATGTTGACGTTCAGAAAGATTTGATTGCGCTGTATTATGAAAATGAAGAATTGTTGGGGAAAGTAGAGGGAGGGAAGCCGGGATTTCATTTTTGACAAGTTGGTAGGCAGGTATGTTTTGGGTTACAAGTTTACAATTCTGATATCTTGCATTGTTTATGATCTATCTGTGTATTATCTCATGGTATTAATAGTGTGAAAGTTGTGATTGCCTGGTTAGTATTGCAATTGGTTTAACTAAGTACAGCTATCATGTATCAATAATAATGTGTGATTGAAACTTAGATCTAATTCTGCAGTCTGAGTAGGGATCTAATACTTGAAATGTTGATTACTGGACCAGTAGGGACTATTAGAGATAGTAAAAATTTGCTTGACATGAAATGACTAAGAATGTAATGGATGCCTTCTTTCCCAATGTAATATCTTGTTACAAGCTACAGTTCCGATGATATGTTTGGATTCTCTATGGCACTACTACTCACCTCTGCACCTTAACTATTTGTTGGAGCATCATCATGCTTAGTTTTTTCGACTAATGCAGTTGCATAAGTCACTGAATATTCATTTATACTCAATTGAATGTGCACACTATGAGAATGAATAGGAAACCATTATAGAAATATATATACTACTATCATTCCTCTTTTGCGCATCCTAGACATGACACCATACATGCTTGCCTAATACTTCAGTTTTGGGATCACCATGTGTTTGCTATCATGGGACACTTGTTCGGTCTCATTGAGCTGTCTCAAGACGATAGAACTTAGTACATGCCTCAATCTCACTCTATGAAAGAGATGCAACGAGTCACCTTCCTAGCATTCTGTGTGAGCTAAGTAAGAGTCTAGGTAATATCTTCTGTCTCTTCACCAAGGCCAAGAGGTGAGGCCTACACATGCTGAACAGCTTAGCATGCACTACGATGCTTTGGGGTCTATTGGCTGGAGATGAAGGTTCACTGCAATGTGTTACTTTGTGTGGGTCTAGCTACCTTAGGTAGGTCAATTAAGAGAGAGACTTCTCCAGACCCAGGCTTCTCCTAAAATCTTCTTGATGCTTGGTTTATCTGCCTCAAAGATATGGTTTCTTGCAAAAAGTAAGCACATGGAGTCTAATTTATTTCCTTAGTAAACTCTTAAATTCATGTGTGACGTATTGTGCAAACAAACACTCTACCCTTGGGTACAGGTATAAGATATTTGTCTGTCATGTCTAGTTGAGCATGTGCCAGTAGTAACCATGTCTAGTAATTGAGTTTACTGTTTGATGGTACATAAAACTCTCATACACTAGTCCATGAAACATAGCTTATTACATGATGTTATTCAATATAAAACTCTCACTTTATGCATAAAATGCTCTATGTTACTTTTGAGAAACCATTTTACCCCAGAAAACTGAATATTATGAAATATGAATGTCTAGTTGTATATTCGTGCTTTTAGACACAAGAATTTGAAGAATCTGGCTTAGACTCATGTTCGCACTTGAAACCCATACACTAGTCCATGAAACATAGCTTATTACATGATGTTATTCAATATAAAACTCTCACTTTATGCATAAAATGCTCTATGTTACTTTTGAGAAACCATTTTACCCCAGAAAACTGAATATTATGAAATATGAATGTCTAGCCATGTCTTTGTACTTTTAGACGTAGGAATTTGAAGAATTTGGCTTAGATTCTAAATTGCACCTGACACCCATACATGAGTCCGTGAAACATAGCTTATGACCTGATGCAATCCAACAATGGATTTGCAACATATAGCTGGTTTATAATTTTGTATACAACTTAGGTTTCAGCACTGGACTGAGCACTGACCACTTGCATGAGTGTGGAACAAAAAACATAATTATTAACATGGGCAGAATTGAAGAAACTAAATTTTTTTGCTAAAAACTGGCTTGAGGAATAGTCAGTTGTTAGCAAATTGGAAGGCACCTAAAGAAAATGATAATAAATTTCAGCTCAATTTGTTTTAAAGTTATTGAGTATCAGGAGCCAACTAAATAAGGGGCACAACCCTATACGCATAATTATACAACAATAACAGAACTATGAATCTCATACACTTTTCCAACATGTCGACGTGGATATACATTTCCTTCAAAAAGTCAACAAAAGAAAGGAAGAAAAAAAATTTCTTTCCAAGCCAGAATTTTATAGAGATAAGCATGGTTCTTTTTAAACAAATAATCAATCTGTACGCTTCCAAAAGTTCCCATATTTCTCTCTCTATATGCGCCATTTACTTTTTATATTTTCCCCTATGACATCCCATTCCCAATAATTTTTATATTTTCCCCTACGACATCCCTTTCCCCTCCTTAACTGACTCTGACATCATGCACTCGACTCCAAACACAGAGTACAATTGAAGATAAATCATACTCTTCCTCGTGTTCCAGAGCAAGACCAATGTAACACAAATTGGCACCTCTTCCTCAGATTATTCGTCATTAGGATAACTTCTTGACTTGCCATCTAAGGAGCTTTTGAGTGTTGAATCACTTTCTAAGGAAAGCCTTCATCCCCTACCCCAACCAACTTTCGATAAAAAGGAAACCAC